AATACTCATCACAAACTTCCTCGCTACAAATTAGCCTAAATTTCAAAATCCAGGCATCAAAAAAATTCCAAAGTACTCATCACAAACTTCCTTAATACAAATTAGCCTAAACTTCAAAATCCAAGCATCAACAGAATTCCAAAAATACTCATCACAATCTTCCTTAATACAAATTAGCTTAAACTTCAAAATCCGAGCATCAAAAGAATTCCAAAGATACTCGTATCGTAAATTTGCTCGTTGCAAATTATTTTCAATGAATCGTACGACATAAATTGCCTAAACCGTAGAAGTACACGGTATCGATTCCAGCTGGAGTCACGCGGAAATAGTTGGCGATTTATTGAGTGAAATATTCAGAGCCACCAATCGCTTTTATCCGATCCCGGCAACATCTTCGGGTGCACATTTTATGAGACGGTTTGTTTTACACTCGTGCGCTGCCGGGCCGCCGTGCGGCTCGGCGCGGTGCGTTTTGCGTTTAAAAGATCGCCGCCCGGCGAGAGAGGACGGTTTTTCTGCCTCTACGGGTTCCTTGGGACCGATCGTGTTCGCTCGGTGAATCTTTTACGAACGGGCATTACGCGCAGTTTTATCTGCCGCTCCTTGCGAACGATAGTCAAACAATAATTCCCCGGTATGAGACATTCATGCAAACGGGCACCGCCCTAAATAACATAACCGTGTTTGCGTTACGTGTGTGTTCAATTCCGAGCGAGGAATTTCCGACTGCGTTCCAGTTTGTTTCAACATTCGACGAGTGCGGGACTTGTTTTCATTTACTTCGGCTTTTCAGGGAATCGTTGCGCTACTCGTCAGCCCCGGACAGAGACGATGACTGGATGATTTTGAATTTTCCCGGAACCGGAGGAATTAGGGGTGGAGTGGTTTTTAATGGGGTTAACGGTAATTAGGTTTCGATTGGGGTAAACGGAAATTTGTTTTTATTTGCTTGTGCTCTTCGGGAAATTGTGTTCCTCGTGGGGATCAGGGGGATGATGACTGGGCGATTTTGAATTTTATTAAAAGTCGGAGAATTGTGGATGAAGTGATCTTTGAGGACTGAAATTATTTAGATTCGGATTGGTTTGAACAGAAATTTGTTTTTGTTTACTTGCGCTCTTCGGAAATTTGTGTTTCTCGTGGGGATTAGTGAGGGACGATGGCTGGATGATTTTGAATTTTGCCGAAAGCGGAGGAATTGGGGGTGGAGTGGTTTTTAATGGAGTGGAAATTAATTAGGTTTGGATTAATTTAGATAGAAATTTATCGTGTTCCTTGCGAAGTCTAGACAGAGATCTTATATTTCTCAGATCTCAAGTATGTTAGTAAGTTGAAAGTTAATTAGATTTAGACTAGTCTAGACAGTAACTGAATAATTTTGTAGGTAGATCTGGTTTACAATCTGATTATGCAAAAGACCTTAAAACTTCAACTGAACAACTACCATTAAAACCACTAAATTTATCAATTCCATATCCCATCCCTCAAAATATTAAAAACTCAAACACACTTCCCTAAAAACCATTCAAAACCTGATTTACTCAAAATTACTGAACCCCAAATAAACTCCAAATTTCAATAAATATCAAACATTCCTACTTCTCATTCCCCCCGCAATAGTCACCTAAAAACGAAAGCCTCCCAAGAATACAAAGCAAGCAATGCAAATGAAATTTAAATTTCAACAAATTCAGTTGTCCAATTGTCACTATCGTATAAATTTGACTGTATAATAGTTTCAGTGTTCATGTAACACGAAAACGTTGCTCTATAAAACGCCGCTGTCGCAGACAGTGCCCGGGATCGTGGAACATTGTTTGCAGTGGACTTTGCGGCGTATAGGTGTCTCGAATCGAAACTGGTATCGGACGAAACACCGGAATCGCGATGTATGCGCGGTCCCGCGACAAATCCCTGGCTCGAGGACACGATATTCTCGATTCGAAGACGGGGGGAAAGATTTTGTGGACATCCGTACACAACCGAGCCACGGAATCGACACATGCCCGTGGGAAACTGTGCATCCGTGGAACGGGAACCCAGAGGTTGATTCTTGGATGTAATATCTGCAGTCTGGCCCGCAAACAAACTTGCCTATGCTTTTTCGCGGTGGATTGTCGGGCGACCTACGCTGCATCTGCCAGCATTTACTTTCCTTGCTGCTTGATGTATTCGGTTTTATTCGGGAGGATAGAAGTATTTAATTATTGAATCGATAGAGGAACTTGTGAGGATTGTTTTAGAATTGAATTTCGTTTGATGGATGTATAGGCGAAAGTTAGTTTCTATTTTCTTATGTACGTTTCATTTTAGTTCATTATGCTTTGTCGTTATTTTACGTTCTGGAAATGTTTAGTTAATATGGTAGATTGATTGGGAATCTGTTAGGATTGTTCCAAAATTGAGTTTTGTTTGATTAAAGTGGCAAGGACATTGATTTGCATCTTCTTGAGTAAATTGTGTTATTGTCCTTCTTGTACATTTTGGAAATGTTTAGTTAATATGGTAGATTGATTGGGAATCTGTTAGGATTGTTCCAAAATTGAATTTTGTTTGATTAAAGTGGCAGGGAAATTGATTTGCATCTTCTTGAG